AGCCATATGAAGCCAGCCTTGTGTCTAACGAAACAATTATTTGTCAGCTTAAAGCTGCCTTGGATGTAGGTGTGAAATTCCGTCATTCGTTTTGCACCTCAACCTTGTCTGGTTGCACCCACTGTTAGCTAAATATCTGCATATTGGTTATGGTTAGTGGTACCGAGGAGACAATAGGAAATGCATGCACCTACCAGCCCTCGTTTTCTTTCGCTTTTAATTTATTGTCACTGGCTAATGAACAGGGGTTACGTTGTTTTTCCCTCTGGAGTGAGATACCATTTTTATGGCTCGTTTGATAAAACCATGTCTGGTATCCTGCATGATATCCTGTTGAATTCAATATCGATTGCAGCCTAGTCTAGTTATTTTGCTGTTGTTGTGGCGAGTGCCATTGTAGCAATTGTAAACAGCCAAATGGTGTCTACGCATATGCGTATATACTACTTTTACACGGCACATTGGGTCTACCACTAGGTCACATGACTTCAGACAGACACAAACATGCACACGATTCGTTTTCTCGGACGACTGTTGTATGGAATGTGTTACTCGTCGGTTTTATACCATCTCGATTTTGCTCATTTTTTTACCACAGAAGCGTAGCGATCATACGAAAGCTTATATTGCGTGCGTTTTTAGTTGTGTGCCTGCGTACATCTGGTGTGACACAGTGTTTCGCCTTGGAAGCGGTGATCACCACTTGTATCGAGCAATTTTTCATGGCTTCTCTGGGCTTTCAGTAGACAGTTCACACTGGGTTGTAACGCGGCCCTTCTCTTTCCTCCGGAAAGCAGCCGCTCCGTTAGCTCGCTCCGTACAAACCTCGTCCTGCTGTTCCAGTAAACGGGCAAAGTGTGACCGCTAAGTTTGCACGCAGCATACGTCCGTCGCTCAATCGCATTTTCTGCGACATACTCGAGGCCGCTTCATCATTCACATAAATCGTGGGGCCTAAGCGTCCAACTGACCTGTGCGCTTATGGCAATGTGTGCGTTCTTCTAAGGTTGAGATTTGGAGTACCGCCGCGGGTGTTTGGATTACGACACACAGTCTCCACTTGGACCTCGGTTCATCTTGTAGTAAATCTCGGTCATTTTTCTTACGTGGAATGGTATCGGTGCTACGCGTTCCCGACATTGTTACGATTTCTGACATTGGCTGAGCGCGAATTACCCAACGTCGATGCATCCGCTCAATTTTTGCTGTTCTCTGTCAGCGACACCCCACTGTCTTTCATAGGCTCAGATATCTCACCGCACGGTTTCCCTCATGTCACTCAGCTCTACGTCGCATGATCTCTAGGCGGGTTACTTTGCATCGTCACACTGTTCGTTAGCACTGTCTCCAGCCTAGACGCGAACCAGGCACACCGTGCATTGCTGCGAGTGGGGACAACATTGGCACGGCACTTACAATCATGTTTTATGTTTGCATGGACAACATTCGTCCGCGCAGCTCATGTTTGCTTTCACCTTGTTGGCCGCAACACTGCCACTTGCGCGTGCCTGTGAACGCCTACATTCCTCGCAGCCACGCAGCGCACATGCTGTTTAGTTCTTGTCGCGGTGTTCTGCATCTTACCTCGGTACCATGATCCATTTGACAAGTGCCCTTGTTGTTGTTGTTGTTGTTGTTGTTGTCCGGGTACATCAGACCTGTTCGGATGCCCGTAGATGTTAACCATGAAAGCCTGCTATTGTGATAAACATTCCGGGGTCAGCCTACAAATGTTACGTCTTTTCTCTAAACACTAAATCCCAGACATCTTCCCTTTGTTGGCAGTGTTCAATCAAAGTTCCTAGAACAAACTTCAGTTTCATTGCCTCTCTCTTGACCGGAACACCTATCGGTTTTCAGTCAGCGTAAATGGGGCCCGGATGTCACCGTCTCCCGTCTCACTGGCACTATATGGGATAGTGAATGTCACTATCTCATCGTCATTCTTACTCTTTTCTTGTGCTTCCTCCCTTATCATTTTTTCATCTCAATTCTGGTCATATCTGTGTAAATTGAGTAAATACAGTCCAACCTGCTATGGCTACCACCTGTCTATGGCGAACACCCATAAACATTCTCAAAATTTTCTCCTGCTAGCAATGTCCCTATGCATGAACCTGTCTTTGACAACTACCATTCTAAGGCGACCACTTTTTGTCTGCCTTTTACAAGTTTAACTGTAGTTTGACTACAGTTTTCCATTTAATGCGGGATTACATCCATGTATGGATACATGCCAAAAAAACATCACATCAGCAGTACGCCGGTACCCAGTACCGGTGCTTCACTGTCACGCAGCTACCGTCAGTCACAGTTGGGCTAAAGATACTGCGAAGGTCACCTGGTCCCTACGCAGGCTCGAACCCGCGCTCTTGGATTACGAGGTAGGCTTGTGATCCTTAAGGCAACGAACCGGCAATTGATCCACATCGGCCTTTACATGGAACACATGCTCATGTAGGTAATAGTTTTGGGGACGGCTGGATAGATCATACTTGATTTTTGAGGTAACTTGTTCACATGTCTTACCGACACTTCTCGTTATAGACAAAAGTTGTGAATACCAGCCGAGCTGTTTCCCGATATACCATTTGGTTTTCATATCAGTGTTGATAGTCATGGAGTTCGCCTCACTTATGGTTATTCTGGTACTCCAAACTCTTTAAACCGCCTGGTTTGACACTGGTTTCACTTTCCATTTAGTTTTTGTTTTCGGCCAACAACCTTTTTATGCTGTCTATTGGATGCGAAGGAAAACTTTCAATTTGAAATATCATCTAACTACCGCCATGTATCCTAAATGAAGCTGATAACTTTAGCATATGCTTGGTTTATCCATGTGTTGGTGACATAAACCGATTAGGAAGATTAGGAATCACTTGCCCTGTACTGGGTATCTTGGAATGTGTTTGTAACCGATCGGAAAGTCATCATTTCAGAGGGCTTGGCAGACGACCGGTTTAGTTATTTGATATACTGCACACCGATTCGCTTTTTACTCAAAAGCTTCTTCGGACGAAGTTGTATAATTCGTTTGGTTGTATCTTTTTCATTTGTCATGTGAATGCTTGTATTAAAGGCATCGGTTCGCCTTGTGGTCTGCATAATGGGTGTGGCTAGATAAAATGATAGGTGTGCGAAGCGGGTGCAGAGAGCGCAAGAGGATTAGAAAACATTTAGTAATTTAGTCACAACGGTCGTTACCGTCCTTCTTCGCCCAGTGATCTCCAGCATACTTTGATTATAGCTTGTAGACCCACACGGGTCAGATGGAACCCGCACCGTTGAGATTTTAGAACGGACGAAACGGCCGTACAGTGCCTTTCCGTACGTGCGGTGGCTATCTGACTAAGTTTAGATTTAGTGAATTTCCACTTAAAAAGAGGCGCAAGAAGAAGTCAAAGAATGACGAGACTGCAGATGTACTGCAATCCGGCCCTTCCACAGGCCGGGTAATTAAGGGGCTTTCGCGCAGTAGCGCGTGGCGAGTTCGAGGAAGAGACTAGGCTGTTGTTGGAGGAAGATAAACGTTCATGATTGAAAGCTTTCGTTTTATTGTGTGCATTCACGGACGCCTGCTTTAAGGTACCACCTCGTCAGCCCCACTGGCTGTTTACCGTCGTTGTTTTGAGTGCGGATCACCATCTCGCTCTGACGCTGACGCTATCACTTTCGTCTCTGTGTGCATCTGACTGCTTCTTTATTTGCCCCGTCTGTTCACTCACTTTCAATTCTCTGGTTGGTTCTTACATTTAATCCTCAGGTTATACAAACATTATCTCACCATGAAAAGAACCCATAAGTACTGTCCCTGCTTGGTCGTGTTCTCACTACCGTCATTGAATGGGATTTAACACAACGGCTGGATAATGTAACACTGCTAATGCGTAAAGCAAAGTCAGGCTTGGAGAATCCGCTGGTGGTTGGGTTGCTACAAGGAATCTCTATTGAGACCTCGGTTCACTTGAGGTGGACCTCGGTCATTCCGATCACAAAGACCGTAAGTAAAATGGAAACATTATAATGTTGCTCATCCCAACACTGGCACCCCAAGACCGCGGTTTCGTCCTGGTTGGGACTCATCAGTTGGAGATAGCCTGAGTTGGGCTGGAACTCAGAGCCTAGTGGCTCATGGTTGACGCCATAAGCACTATGCCACTGAGATCCACGAACAAAGCTTGGTCCAGCGGAAACAAATGCAAAGTTAGGCTTGGAGAATCCGCTGGTGGTTGGGTTGCTACAAGCAACGTCTATTGAGACCTCGGTTCACTTGAGGTGGTCCTCGGTCATTCCGATCACAAAGACCGTAAGTAAAATGGAAACATTATAATGTTGCTCATCCCAACACTGGCACCCCAAGACCGCGGTTTCGTCCTGGTTGGGACTCATCAGTTGGAGATAGCCTGAGTTGGCATAGTGCTTATGGCGTCAAGCATGAGCCACTAGGCTCTGAGTTCCAGCCCAACTCAGGCTATCTCCAACTGATGAGTCCCAACCAGGACGAAACCGCGGTCTTGGGGTGCCAGTGTTGGGATGAGCAACGCTATAATGTTTCCATTGCTAATGCGTTTTTATATGACCCCGAGGAGTGAGAGAGATAGAGAACGAGAATTGGGCGAAACTAAGTCAACTGAAGGCCAGCGCAGTGACTCTCGAGCATACCGGTAAACATGCATGCATGCAGACTTATTGGGCTCCGTTGAAACAGGTTTGTAATATGGCCCCGTCAAATCCCTTCATATGCTTCTGCATCGGTTGTTGCCTCATAATTCCATTGGCAAATTCCCATGGGCCACGTTCAGCCGACCAGTCAAATAGTTTTTTGACCTGTACAACACTACGATATTTTTTGTGTATCACTCGGGAATGCGCCGTGAAACAGACAGTTTTGCAAAGTGGGTCAAAGCACGCATGTTTGTTGCCACAGTAGATGTTCGGCAGCCTAAGTGCAGTGGTGCTGTGCTGTCATCCTTAACTACCATGTTATTCCTCGCTTTTAGGCCGCAGTCTCTCGTTGCAAACACATAATCACCAGCCGAGTGGGGTTGTCTGCGTATACATTCCGATGGGCACATGAAGAACCGCGACTGGCAAAATTGGCCTGGAATTATCTCCGAGGAGATTCCACCGACACCGCCACTGCGGGACGCACTGGTACTTCGGGTACGACATTGGAGTTTGCCGAACAACCTTCTGCCTTGTGGTCGACACCAACGGCCGAACGATTCCGCAAGCGGCACGCTCCCTATTCAATGGATGCGTCTCGTTCCACTGCGCTGGAAACTGTTTTGATTGCCGTAAGAACGCCTGGATCAGATTGGCCGTCAATCGACATGGATGAATCATGTGCGTGATGGTGGTGCTCCACTACTTTTATCGTTCAGTGCATTTGCATTTCAGTCGGTTGCCTTTTTCAGAGTCTTCCAAAATGTCCTCTTATTTACTGTTACCTGCTGCAGTTTCGTTTGAAGGCACGAGCCGAACCTCATGCTGAGGTTGATGTTACATACACCATGCTTCTTCATCGCAGTTGGGCTACACTGACTGACTGAATCTGGATAAAAGTATTATACTTTAGTTGCTTTGCTCAGTTCTTTTATTCTACTGCATATTCCCCATCAGTTTAGCGTATTTATTTTTCTTCATCTTCTATGTTAGGTGCTTGATATCCCCATTTTGGCTGCGCTTGATGGGAATGTTGACAAAATGCCCACCTATCTAACACCCTTTATCTCGGTTACTGGATCCAGGAGACTGAATCGTTGCTGAGGGGTTGCAGAGTTCACGGTCCTCGTGGCTGTGTTAGGCTCAAAGGGTGGTTCCATCCAGTCTGGAACGGGCTACGACCCAGCCACCGCCTCGTGTGCGTATGTTTTGCCACTTAGATAGACAAGAATGCTACTGTGCATGTTGAAGGAGTGTGGGCCGGCTCCATTGATGAAACATGGCTCCCATCCACATGCCTCTTGATCTTATTCCTTCTGGTTTACACTAGATATGGCGTATGTGGGTGATGCAACGCAAGCCACCCATGATCCCTATGTAGGCGCAGGCCTCCTGTGGCTGTCCAATGGAGGTCGCAGTGACAAGCAAATCCGGACATGGATGCCGCCGAATATACAGTTAGTTAGCACACTGGTCCTTCCTGTGTACTTGCTTTTATGCAAGTCAGTTATCCATCTCGTAACCATGAACTCGAGGCCCGGTCAAACTGTGACTTCTTTCTGACACCTTACCGCCGTCGGCCCCATATCTATTCCCACGTGTTGCTATCGTATCCACATCAAGCGCTTGCTGCGGTTCACAGTATCCGCTTCTGTGGTGATCAACACCACCGTGGTGGACGTGGTGACGCATTTTGTCTACAGTACGCACTCACAACAACATCATGGATTACGACGAGACTAGATTGATATCAAGCGCCTATGCTCCTATTCGATTCTGCTGTTGGCGAAGAGAGCTGTTTCACATTTCACACTCAAGTTCGCTTATCTCTAGGGGCTTTCAACGTTAACCACTTATGAGTATATAGTTTGCACTGAGTGTTTTTAACCAAAATTGCACCGTTTAGCGGCCAGTACATGAATATCTGCTCTCAACGGTTTTCGATAGTCTGGCCTCATTTGTCTATAGCCCAGCGAATGTTACTGAGGAGCTTGAAGACTCGTTTGAATATTTACACTCCACTTCAGTCCTGATGTCATCGGCACGGATCGGCTGATCTTTCAGAGGATCCACCTTCTACGGAGACAGCTGAATATCAGTTTGTCAGTGAAAGCTAGGGTTTATAACTGCGATAAGGCCGGTGTTTTTATACGGACCAGAGACGTGACCAGTTCACAGGGAAAACATTAAACGCTTGGCTGTGTTTGACCACCGGTGCTTACGGACTATTGCTTACATCTGGTGGCAACACCGCGTGAGCAAGTTAGTTTTTCGCAATAAGCGTTCTGATGCATCACTCGAGTGTTTCCTCAAGCTCAATCGTCTACATTTGCTAGGTCATGTTCTCTGTATGCTCATTGATTGACTTCCTCGGTGTTCATTATATGCTTTCGCTGGAGCAACTCGGGCGATACCGCGAGGTGGTTACTCGATGTCCTGACATAATGGCATGAAGAAACTGACCGAGGGACTTGGCCGGGCTGGTGCCTGTCGTCTTCATTGTTGGGGGCCCTGGGATGGTCCAACCCCGTAGTTGGAGACTCTAGCTGGTATGGCGCAATCGGTGGCGTTACTGCAGTCGGTTTCTTACATTTAGCCGTTAATTTTCCATCCCGAATAATTTTGCGTACTTTTATCCCGATTCCAATTTCTTTCTATCCTATTTGCGATCAATCCCATTTTCTTACAGTTGTTATTTAGTGTTATTCTGGCGAGGTGACTCGTGGCAACTGCATTCGGCACACTTCGGTGCCCGGATCATACTTGTTCAACTTACGGAACCAGAGAACGCTTACTCAACCTACCAACAATACCACATGATCGAAACCTCATTTTGTTCCGTATCTAGTGTGATGGGTTAGTGGGTTACGAATTGCATATTTCAATTCGTCGCTTTTCCTTTCCCTTTAATCGACCAAGTGAGCCTCTTGTCGTTAGGAGTTGGTTTTAAGTAGAGGGGGCCAGGCAGCTGTTGAATGCAGTGACCTTGTTGCTCCTCGTCAGCTGCTCTAACCGGTCCGTCAAGTAAAATGTGCTTCGACTAGATGCAGCCCCGCTAACTGCGGAGCACCTGTGTTCACTTGTTCGGTCTCTAAAAGAATATCAGCCGTGCAGCGAATCACACACAGTTAGACATTCTGTATGATATGGTACCCTGTACTTCGCCTTAGATGCACACGCACACATGGCACATCGGTACGGAATGCCCGTGCATCACTTTCGAAAAGCGATATTCGATACTCTCTTATTATCGATTTGGCCACCTTTTTATTGCGCACTGATCACCGCAATGCCTATAGCAGCTTCCGCTTGATTGTGTGGTCAGTCTCTCGGGCATTACATTTCGGATCGCTTTACCTGGCTCATTTGTTGCAACACACTAACATTTCGACTTCTGTTTCCCATTCACCCTACACACATACAACCTGAGTGAGAGTGTACGAATGGTCTTATTCGCCAAGGACTGCTTCGTTGAATCTCTCACACGAGACTGGTGCATTGCGCAATACTCAAAGTTGACCCCCCTCAAACTCTGTGGGCATATACTCCATAGGGTTTACGGCGTACGTATCGTTCCTTTGGGTTTTGTGACATTCTTTACTGTTCATGAGTTTACTTTGGATCCGAGGTTTCATTGTAAGCAATTTTCTTGAGAGCGCACCTCAATATGTTGCGATATAAAAACGGATATTTTCTATTTTAGCCGCCGCTTGAGTTACTTCACAATTATAAAACATTGAAATAGTTGTGTACACCTGGTTAACGAGCCAGCGCTCAACACCTTCCCTGTGAAACTCCGGTTGCGACTGAGAAATATTGTTAGCAAACGTAGTCACGTTGTCGGTTGAGTCACTGTAATGTTCTAGCGAGCATTGATTGTGTTCCGAATCTAACACCAGCGACGGAGACACCATCAGCAGTAGTGAATCAGAGATCTACCCTGATACTTCGCTACCGTGTCATCAGAATCACCTTTGGAATGTGGAGTCATTCTCGTAGAAGAAGAGGGATCTAGTATAGGATTTAAATGCTGTAGGCAAACATGCAAGAGTGAGGCACCTACTTGGCATCAACCGCACATATGGATAAGGCGACATCGGTGAGATAGATCCATTGGAGTTATCACTACCACGCAGCACAATCAGCCTTGCCCCACAGATTACTCAGCGCTAAACACACTTTAGATTGGCAGTCCAACGAGGAGACGACAGCGGGCGCGTCACTGGTGCAGACTGAAAGCAATATATTGTAACGTCTCGAGCCAAGTAACAGGCAAGTGGTATGAACTCCAGCTTTTCGGGCAAGATGGACGAAAAGCACCGTTTCTTCGTCAGTGACTTCATTTCCCTCTGACAAATCAACTTTTGCCCACTTCGGGTCTTGCGCTATCCAACATACGAATAACATAATAGGACTCTTCGGTAAGCACGTGACCAAATCGATGCGGCTTATTGGATGTCATTTATTGCTCTAAAGAACAAATATCCGCCTGCGCGCATTATCTTTGCGGTTACTCAGATATCATCCGATACCAACAATACTCCGCTTCTTATTATAACTCTGTTTTGCCTTATTTATCACGACTTCTAGTGAACTTTACGAAGATCACTGATGCCCCTCGTTAACGTTTGCTTGTGCGAATGGATGTATATTTTGCCTTTTTTCATCATTTGCCTATCGTTCAAGTAAACTTTTTGTACCCAAATCTTTTTATCCGCAGTTATTATGCAAAAGATGGCTGAAAATGTGCTCAGTTGGGTACTTAAAGCTTATTTGGACTTGATTTGACTAGACAACGATAGTCAGGGAATCGAAGGCTACTCAAGTCGTCATATTGTAATGGGAAGTTATCACTCCCGTAGAGGACTTCTCGCAGTATGATTCTGTATATACACATGCTTAGACCAAGGAAAATCCTCCTCTGGAACCGCAGTTGTCACAGGTTCAAAAGTCCAGTTCTAGCTATTACCATACGCTTATTAATTTCAATGGTCACGCCTCAGTCACTGCCAGTGCAACTGCTGGGATAGGTGAATTTATCAACTATCTCCAGCTGCCTGTCCTCAAGAGTCCCGATATCATCACAGTGCTGATATCATCACGGGAACGGCAATTTTCACTCTGAAGGTGCGAACTACATACCAAGCAATAGGACCATTCTAGCTTGTTATTCGGGGCTGATTGAGCAGCGACCCAGTGATCGTCAAACAGCAAGGGAATATCCTCCGCGTTATGCAGACTAACCACTTTTCCTTCAGTTTTCACACCGTGCGTTTCTGGAATGTTGCACTCTATGGGGTAATCCATAATACATTTGAACAGTTAAGAGTAGGACAAGTCCGATGAAAACCACTTGTTATCAGGAAAGCATACTCCAGTTCGTCATTTACCATGGGTTGCGTAGCACTAGGAATCCACATATAATTGAGCAGGAGTTGATTAGTGTATCACTAAACAGTCCTTCGCGCGCCTACAGTGTGGTTGGTTTCCACAACTGACGCACACTATGGTGATGGCTTGTTGTCGTAGCCATGTCTCGAGCAGTGACGACATTGTCGTCTGTTGTTATTATTCCAATAAATTATCGGATTCTTCACTCTTTGTGCTATGGAATCATAAACACACCGGTTAGTAACGTAAGCAGATCGCTGTTCTCATCTTGGTTGACATCATTATACACGTTTGTTAAAATTCACCCGTCAATCTGACCTAGTTAGAGCAACATGACAGTACTCGGCATAAGGTGGATGAATATACACGTCATGATGTTGGGCTCCGGAAATCAATCTTCGTTATTGTGAGGCTTAACTACAATCCGACTAAGTCAAACAGTCACCACACATCCGTAGAAGTGCCGCACGACCCTTTCATCCTATTGGGGCTCGTCAGTCGCGCTCATCCGCTGAATTCTGTCGGATTCGAACCCATCACCTTACTATTACAAGCCAACGACATAAATCACCGAGCCATGGGCGACGGCGGCGCACCGCCATGACTGATATCTAACTGCGGTATAGCGCTGCTCATCCTCCACTGTCATGCATGTTATGTACGTGCAGAGGACACGGTTGGCCCCCAGAGCTACGACTTCTTTTGCATGCCGCCACCAATCGTGGTGGCATGTAAACTAGTAAGGCAAGTACTCATCAGTAGACAGTAGTAGGACGTTTATTGTGTTTTGAGGAGCTTCGTCGCAGCTAGCCTCAGCCATCTAGCCACTGCACATGTAGGAAAGCGTTAGACGGCCGTTCCGTTCTATTAGGACTCGTTAGTAGCGTGCATTCGTCGGATCTTGCTCGACTCGAGCTGATGACCTCACTCTTGCCAATCAGCAACTTGATGCGCTGAGCCATGGGTGACGGCGACGAGACGTAATGTTTGGTTAATAACTCTCGATATAGCGCAACTCATTTATCTCCGTACTCTTAACTAATGAGTCCCAACAAGACGAAACAGTTGTCCGCCGATTTTTCACTCGAGTGCTGATCATAGAACTCATCTAGCTGCGGCAAGCCACATATCACTGCCGACTGGCTCTTGTACACTCGTTTCGGCATTCCGAATTTGGTCACGTGTTCTATTGACACACTGGGCAGTTACCGACCTTTGAAACTCGAGGACCGTCATTATCGCCAGGAGACACTACATTATCATTCTTCATTGTCACCTCAGCTAAAACATATCCTGGTATTCTGTCACCGTCTGTGCTGCACATTTTGTGGAGGTTGTTCTAGACAAAGTTCCAAATGGACCTCACAAAACCGATGGCCTCATGACATATGTTCACGATTTAATGACCTCCGGCAGCGCCACTCGGGGGAATTACAATACCTAATTGTCTGGTAAATGAGCAACGTCATATACCTTATCTATCTGTACAAGTCATGGCTGTCTGTCGAGGTAGATGGTAAGCTTGCGCATTTTCGGCGAGTGTACACTGTTGCCAGTATCATTGAACACAGACTCGAATGCGATATAGTTTATGTGCTTGCTTTTCACGAATACGCTAGGGTACCCAGTTGAACAACACCTTATTCAATGGTCTGGAACTGTAGATCTATTGATCGGCGGATTATCCTTTCTGGGCGTTCTCTTTTCTCCAACATAACTGCGTTTTGGTTGCCCCCACTTGAGCAATCTTCTCAATGTGTGCCACTTCATGATTTCGCCCCACCACACTTTTTCCTAATCGATTTTCCGATCTCCACTTTTCGTTTACACTCACACAATGATACCTCACCTTGTTTCGCCTATTCTATTCGCTCTTCATTCGTCTACCCACATTTTTGTTATAACTCAGATGCACTTTTGGTTGATCGTCACGGTATCCTCTTGGTCGCCAATCAGACATGGGGCGCAATACGTGGTTTGGAGAGTCTGAGCCAACTCATGTGGCGCACCTCCGACGGTTCTCAGGTTAGTTACACCAAAGTAAATTCATTGTTCAGTCGTAATATGTGCCATCTTCATCTTTACTATGGCCAAAGGATGTTTGTTGACAACCACTTTGATCGTTTTTGAAGGCTATGGTGTTATTCGCTTCATTTCCGTTACTCTCAAACATGAATCCAACTTCGGTGGCTCACCGATCTGCGTTTGAGCTGAACCGGTGGAAATCAAACTGGCTTCCAGTTCATCCGTCGTTGCGTTGACCAAATTTCCACACCATTTATATCGCTCCAAGCTGATCTATTTTGCCTTTAAAGGCATTTTAAATTTGCTTGTTCACGACTGTGCAAGGGAAATTTCTATTTTGTGCGCCGCATGCCACGAGCCTAACGATCGTGGGATGACCAGCCGAAGATCGCCCTCTGGGTTCCAATGACTCGTCATTTTTCTTTGATAGTTAGCGGTCAGTCTAACTCAGTGTGCTCCGTAGACATTTGGGTGTCGATTAGACTGGGAGAAAAAACGACACTTCAGACCTTCAAACTAATGCTGGGGAGAGCTCTATGACTCTTCCTTCAACTCTTAGTCATGAGAGACGACAAGGGCATAGAGAACGATTACCTCTCATTTTCTCTGTCGGTGAAAGAGCACTGCGCGGTGGTCAATGGTTTTCTCCTGTTTGCCAAACAGGCAGCCCCTTAGCATATTAGTGCAAACTCGCTAGCTCCCACCTGCGGCTGACCGTCGTCACTAGTGGGTAACATACTACAGTCAAAAAACTCTTTGAATTGAAAACTGCAGTGAGATGACGAATATTGGCAGTTGCATATATCTCGTACCGTCACCTCAGTTCCAAAAACGGTAAGATGGAATTACCTACAACGGTTAGATGGTGCAAGCAAACATGAGAAGGGACGATAAAAAAACCAAAAGAAGTAGTGCCAATACATGCAGGGCAATCTGAGGTTGACCGACAATGACTTTCGGACGCAAAGCACTGGTTTACTCGGGTTTATTGTGAGAGCCACAACGAATCGGAGGAGAGGTGAATTAATGTGGCGCAGCAGCATTTCGAGCACCGTGCAGACCTCGATCAGGTAACCGGAGGTCAATAAGTGCCTGCCGATGGAAGGTGCCGGTGACTTGCGTAGAGGTGCATTGAACCCACTTCAGCACGTTCCCCTTCATTCGGGAACTCAGAGTCCTATCGGTTTTGCCTATGTAAATTTCTCGTCAGTTGCATAAGAATAGTTATTACATACGAATTGGCAAACACAATGATTGGCCCCGACAAGCAGAGTTTCCATTAAAATGTTTCGAAATACTGGTAGCTCGGGTTGATGAATCAATTGTTCATTTGTTCTCCGAGCTTGGCGGTTTTCTCGCAAACGTTTCACCACCATGCGAGGCGGCATCCTCAGTGCGGTGATATGTAGCGTGTAAGTTTAGTAAACGTACACGCTACATATCACTGCACTGAGGATGCCACCTCGCATGGTGGTGAAACGTTTGCGAAAAAACCGCCAAGCTCGGAGAACAAATGAACAATTGAGAGTTTCCTTTACTTTAGGTAGCGGCAGCTTGTGTGTTCGGCCCGTGCTAGTAACTTTGGCAGCACCGAAAGTGCTCTGTATGGCAGTGATCCGATGCCTGGTAGTCCTCAGTGTAGCTGCGCTACCTTTAAAAGGTAGCTCTAAGAATATCTTCTTAGTTGCAGCTTCCATCGGGTCTCTTATTCCGCCGATTTCACTGTCATCATCATCATCGTCATGAATACACTTCAGCTGAGGGTGAGAAACACACCTCATCTAATGTGCCGCAATACAAAAAGGATAAGATATTAAAATTTACAGACCCAAAAAGTGCAATAAGCATGTAATATTATGTTAAATATCATACGTTTCTGGTATGCGTTCGTAATTAGAAAGGGAATCTGAAGGGGAGGAGGATGGAGAAAGAAGCTCACAACGCAAACGCCATTGGGACCGACTCTTCGCCATATCAGCAAGTGTATCCCACGAAACATGTTCGTCGTCCTCTTCAATCTAGATCCCAGACGCACAAACAATACGCGACGCGGGAGTCGGTGTGCTGATATGCACAACTCGTGACCCAGCCACCGGATCATGGCGCGTAAAATAGCGGTTCACTCGCTATTCCTGCATTAAACACACGAACCTGAACACACTCATTGCTCACCTGACAATAGCTCAATGGATCATTGAGAAACACATCATCGCACCACGTTAAGGTCCATTCGTCGCAATGGTGATTTGGCTATGCTTCTCGTTAAATCTCCGAGGATAACCACTTACAGTTAGCGTATTAGTAATCAGCTCTAGTGCATCGGTCAGGCAATCGGTCGAACATATTCGTCTGGTACAATTGAATTAAGTTCTTCACGAGCGTCCGCTTGCATTGGCTTGCATTGGAAAAATGCATTTACTGGCGGGACCACGTTTGTTTTCAGTAGACAAGACTTGTAATTTGTCCGTTCGCTGATGATAACATCTAAATAGGTCATGCAGTTCTAAGTGGCATTTGGTGTACCCGCTGTGTGGTTGGATTGCGACTCGCAGTCTCTATTCAGACCTCAGTCCTCTTTGAAGTAGACCTCGGTCATTACGATCACAAGGACCGTATCCGAATTGGTGGTTCGGTGTTGCTCCTCCCAACCCTGACACCCCGTAACCGGTTTCGTCCTCCTTTGGACTCATCAGATGGAGATAGCCTGAGCTGGGGTGGACCTCGAGGCCTAGTGTTCAAAGGTTGACGCCTTGACCACTATGGCTCTAAGATCCGCGAGCAACGCTTGGCACAGCGGTAAAGAGTTTCAAGGGGCATTTGCTTTACCCGCTGTGTGGTTGGCAGGAGCAACACCAACCAGGTCAGGCAGTTCTGCTGTTCAATTTTGCACAAGGCTTTCAATTTTGCATGCTCAGCTTATAAGCGCGTTACTAGCCGTGTTAGCTGTAGCTCTGATGAACAAAACGCCAAGTTCTCATCTACATATGGTTTGCAGTCTGGCAGCTGGGTTAGTTCTTCGGATATCCCTTGTTCGACCATAGGCATAGAAAATCTGCTAGAACAGGGCTTAGCGGGCTGCCCATGGCTACCCCATCAATTTGACCGTACACTGCGTTACTATAATGAAATCCACATTCTCTGTACACAGAAGCGGTGATTCTCCTAATTACACTACCGGTATCGGTAACGAACAGCAGGACTTTATGCCAATTCACGAATGTAGTGGTACCTTGTTACTCAATGATTCCACATCTAAGGAGCACCACACTATCGGACAGGTTCATATTATCCGCGCGAATTGTCCTAAATTTCCGAAACTTGAGTGTGATTGATCTCCGCAATCAGACATCCGGGCTGGATTTGCTCCCCCCCTGTATTTTGGCTCAATCTGTTAGGTCAAATACTCCTGGTGGAGTCTCTCAAGCGAACCTCCATGGCCCCCACTACCTTGTGGGTCAGACTGTTGAGTCAAAGCCGAGATGTTGGGCACCTCGAACAAAACCCCCCTCTCGAAATGGTCAGCCGGAGATTATCATCTGCCCTCTCGACTACGTCGACAATTCCCCCTCTTCTTATTTTTCTCTCCCCTCTCAACTCTCTTCTTCCCTGTCTATTAAGCAAGAGACTGCCGCTGACCACGCACCTGCTGCCTTCGATACATGTAGTTCTTCCATCAAACGTAGAGTTCCATTTCACCTTGGTTCTTTAGGCATCCACACTGTGGGTCAGATCGGCCAGCAAGTAGCACTGATTCTCACCCTTCAGTCTCTTGGTATTGATGTGTGCTGTGACTCCGAAACTACCATTCGACGTAACAATGTTGTGGCGAATCTTCGATTCCATGTTTCTGAATCTGACGGGTGACTGCATTGTTTGTGTCTCTGGCTATAATGAGTCAATGGCTCCAGGTAGTAACGATCTCATAATCGCCCCCCACCAAACACACTGAAGGTAACCAACTCGATTGGATACCAGTGAACAGCCGCATGTGCGCGATTCGACTTTTCACCTCTGATGGGGATGACAATCGCCGTTTGGAAACAAGGTGCCTTTTCATCGTTTCCTTTTATGCCCCCACCTACTACAAGGCGGATGGTATGGAAGACGGTTTCTATCATCAGCTCTCCCATCCATATGGCGAAGAATACTGATATATGAACGTTGGGGTTTTAAAGTACCCAACCGCTATGTACCGAGTTCATTTCCCAACTCAGGTATTGTTAATTGATGAGCCTAAACAAGGACGAAACGCGTTGTGGAATGCAACCCCCAACTTCCTACACATCTTTAAGCTTGCGACGGTATCCATTATGAACGACTCACTTCTGTCATGTTCCGCTTCTTCCGGTGCTTTCGTGCGGCTGAATACTGGCAGATTGCGTTCTCGAAATTCAAAAGTCAGACTGCGCAACGATCAAGTCTCTATTTTCATCATAAAAATGCAAAGGCGGTGTGACCACACAACTTTCAAACCACGGCGCAGCAGGGCTTCGTGAAGAAGCTCGTTCCGCCGAAAATCACGTCGGGCGTGATGAGTAATGTGTACTATATCTCTGGTCACCTTCCGCGAAGTCAGTAAGCGCGCTCGGCGAAAGAACAATCTCTCTCTCTCCTCTCTGTGTGTGTGTCTGTCTCGGGTCGGGGAGCGGTCGTGGGAGTCACGTTCGTCTCGTATCGTATGCGTCACACAATTGGCAGTTCAGTCGGCGTCTTGGCCTCAGCCAACATGAACGCATTCCGTTTCGCCATATTTGGCCGTCTGTTTGCGCCAGGCTACGGTCCCTGTTCATTCGCTCGACTCCTACCCGCGTTCGCCACCCACTCACATCGCATACGTGTTTCATACTTGATCGGCTGATTGCAATTCAGAGTAAAATCTCGTTCACACAATCAATCCTGTCCACATGTTCGGCTTCACGCCTGTTCAGACTGTTGGCAAGGCCTAGTGCAATATCGCCATGCGTGGGTATTCGAACCGCAATTATCCCTGCTGTCTATCA